AACGTAGACATCCTCTCTCGCGTCGTCCTGAAGCAAATCCCGCAACCATTCTCGTTTTTCAAGCCCCTTTACGTAAACGATGGGCAATGTTTCATTCTCCGTCACCATCCATAACGCCCTTGTAATCAGGTCTTTAGCAGTGAAGTATCGAACCGTTCCATCGCCCCATTGCAATCCGTGATGGTTGACCGTCACCCAGGATACGCGCTGCTTATCCGTTTTGCTGAGAAAATTCCACGGCTCGGGGCTTTTGAAGATATAATGAGAGAGAATATATCCTTCTCGGAGAGCTGCAAACTCCTTCACGACAAAGTGGTCGCCGACGACGAAACCTTGCAGATCGACAAACGTTGGTGTAGTCATGACAACACCTTTGAGACTGCTCCTCATCGTGATACATGAATCTCTCTTATATTGGAATACAGCCAACATTGCAATTTACATGATTTTGCGTACTACATTGGACAATGGGCAGTATTCGATGACACGATCGTGCAAGATGAGACAGTAGGCAGTAGTATTTGCAGGCACATTCTCCTTGCAATCAAATTCTATGCGCACATCCACAGTAGCACTCTTGATAGACTCGTTCTGTCGCGCGCAATCGATGACTACGAAAGGTCCATTCGTCAAAAATGTGGTTACGGTGCAAAGCGTTTCATAGCAGTCGTATCCATAATAAGCTTTACGAAAACGTGCATACATGTCAAAAAGTATAGCGTATTTATTTTTTTTGAAGTCTAAATTTAGGTCATCATATGGATAAAATTCAGAGTTGAGATAAAGTTTTACGTTGGTCAGATTACAGTCATCGAATACGCTCGCATCTTCAGACATGATATTCTTTCGACCAGTCTGCAGAGCAAAGATAACATATCGCGGTTTCTCTAACTGAGTCGCAGATTTGATTGCCCATGAATGTCGGGTTGTGCTCTGCAATAGCGGGTACTCGTACAGTTCCCATGATCGGAAACTCATACTCAGATATAGTCCGCTTTCCAAAGCTCGCAACAAAGATAGTTTATTGGCCTCATTCAACATAACGTGAGGCATTCGCCACTGTACTTTAAGTAGTTCAATTTCAGGTTCCGTCTTCGAATCTCCCTTGATTGAATTGTTGTCAGTGCGCGCTCGTATCAAAATCAATTCATGACGAGCGTTAATAACCACACGTTTGTAATCCTCGCAAAAACCTAAAAGCATGTTGAGCGGTACGCAAAAATTAAAGTCTCCTTCCGGTATGGTTGATAAAGTGTCCCATCCC